GTCCAGCCGCTGATCGGCATCCATAAAGTCAAGTATACCCTGGACGACACGAATCGGTACGCGCAAGCGCCGCCATCGTTGGCCTCACACAATGCGATGCAGGCGTGGCAAAGAGACCCTTTGAAGAACTACGTGCGCAAGGTGGCGTCCATCTGCCACATGCTCACGTTCAGCATCGCCAAGAAGCGCATGTCGGTGGTCGTGCCGCTCTCCGCGACGAGATGCCGCATCTTCACCAAGGGTGCGATTGAGATCGTGTTGGGGCTGTGCACGTAGCAGCTCCACTTTGACGGGTCCACGGCCGCGTTCTCCGTCGCTCAGCGCAACGCCGTCAACGCCAACATTATCGACAAGTACACGTCGCAGGCGTACCGCACGCTGTGCCTGGCATTCCGAGACGTGGACGCATCGCCCGATGAAGTCAAGGCGTGGCCCGATGAAGATATCGAAAGGAGCCTCACGTATTGAAGCCCCCTTGGGCGAAGAAGTGCCCGAATTGATCCGTCAGTCATCCACCGAATAACGTACTGGGTCCAGCCCGTCGCCGTGTGGCCATTGTAGAGGCTCCAACTCCACGACGTTCGCAACCATACATGGACGCGCCAATTTCACACCGCTCGCTACCAACACTTGCCCCTCTACCGGCAGCTACGCCTCGACCTTCTCGCTGATGCCGTCCGCCCTGTCCTCCAACACCAACTGCTTGATCACATAGAACACATAGGCCTTCCACGCAGCATGGTGACGACTGCGCTGACTGAACAGTGATACAACGGCTTGTCCACACTGTATAATATGTTGCTCGCTCGAGCCGAGTCCATATGTCGCGACGTTGCTTTCCCTTACTCGACCCCAACGGTCCATTTGTCCTCGTCGGCTCCATCCCATATTCCTGCCACGTCGTCACTCACTGATTGCACTCCTCCATCCGACACAAGGACGGCAGTATTGACTAAGACAATCGATAAAATTGCAATAATCCACGTATGTTTCACACTAGCTGAGCTCATGGCTGGTTACGTTCGGACGCCACGGTGTGCAAGGCTTTCATGAACGACTTCCTGGTCGTTTCTTTGCTTATCGATTCCCACGCTGTGATGGTACATTCGATCATTTTCATTCGCTTGTCCGCAGCAGAAATCACGGGCACTTCACGCAGTTATAATAATTCTATATTTTTTTGAAAATCAGCTAGAGGACGCGCATCTTTGACTTCAAAGGGCCAATCACTCCAACATCAAGTGGCTGACACTCATTGTATTTGCTGGCAGGGGCTCCAGAAACGAGTACAACTCGTCATCCACGACCCGTCGTGCTGGGACGGACACATGGGCTGACAAGTTATCCACCAGCAGCGTCGTTGGGCCGACAAGCTCAAATTTAAGGAGCTCCCTCAGGTAGAAGAGCCACACGTCTTCGTCCATCCACGCCGTTTCTTGAACGGCGTAGACGTGACCCGTTGGGTAGGTAGACAACTCGTCGGTTTCAATTTGGCCACCGACCACCCCACGTACAATA